CCAGTTATTTACTTATAAGCCCATCATGAGTGTCCTTTTTTTTTTTAATTTTTAAATATTTATTTATTTTTGGGAGAGAGAGTGCAGGTGCGTGTGTGGGGGAGGGTCAGACAGGGAGACACAGAATCCGAAACAGACTCCAGGCTCTGAGCTGTCAGCACAGAGCCCGGTGCGGGGCTCGAACCCAGAAACCACAGGATCATGACCTGAGTCCAACGAATTTGGACTCTTAGCCGACTGAGCGGCCCAGGTGCCCCCTATCATGAGCATTCTTACCTAGACTGTGCCTTCTACCCCAGAGTCCTTTTTTTGTTCTCATGATGATGATCTTAACAACCCCTTTTTACCCCCATATTTTGTCATATGTAATTGGTTAGTAGTTGATGAGAAAGTTCATCATGGAATTCCTGGCAGAGAGGAAATCAGGACAGCGATCTACTCAGTACCTAAACAATCATAAAATTGTCATCTTACACAGGGTTATCATTTACACAGTGCTTAAGTTAGTTTTTTTTTTTAAGGTTAGTATTTTATTTTTGTAGCAATTCTTAGTATTAACTCCATTTTCCTCATAGCTTTTTCTTTTTTTTTTTCAACGTTTTTTATTTATTTTTGGGACAGAGATTGACAGAGCGTGAAAGGGGGGGGGGGCAGAGAGAGAGGGAGACACAGAATCGGAAACAGGCTCCAGGCTCCGAGCCATCAGCCCAGAGCCCGACGCGGGGCTCGAACTCACGGACCGCGAGATCGTGACCTGGCTGAAGTCGGATGCTTAACCGACTGCGCCACCCAGGCGCCCCTGCTTTTTCTTTTTTATATCGCCTGGTTTAAAAAGTTCTTATCTTTTTTCTGTGCTTTTCCTGAAATTACCATCACTGATTAGTATAAAGAGAAGATCTGGAAGATCTAACACTGTATCAGATTTGTTGAAAACGATTTATGTCTTACTTTAGGAAGACCGACACTGTCCTCCGAAGTTGGAATAATAATTTGTGATGTCACTAATCCCGCCTCACTTGATGAAATGGCTAAGCAGGCGGCAATTGTCCTCAACTGTGTAGGACCCGTAAGTAATCAGCCCTTGTTTGTATCAGAACAAACAGTCTATTCATTTCTAACAGAATCTGGTATTTTATATTCTAGAGGAACATAAGGACAGGGTGCAGAAGAATTGGTTCAGGGCCTTAACCCCATCTGGGGGAGTTTTCGCTTCCAGTGAGAGCAAATGGGTGTGGCCAAAGTGTCCTAAGAGAGAGACCAGGCCCTCTGGGACACCATACTCCAGGAATGTGTGCAAGTTTGGTTACTGGTTACGGCTATAATTGCCATTTTTTTTTTTCTTACCGTATGCTTTTTTTTTTAAGTGTATTTATTTATTTTGAGAGAGAGGGCCGCACTCGGGTGGGAGAGGGGCAGGGAGAGAGAGAATCCCAAGCAGGCTGTGCACTGTCAGTGCAGACCCTGACTCCAGGCTTGATCCCGTGAACTGTGAGATCGTGACCTGAGCTGAAATCAGTCTTAACCAACCGAGCCACCCAGGTGCTCCCCTTACTGTGCGCTTCGTAAGTGAAAAAAAAAATGTTTGAGCGTGTACCCCCGATACATGTTTTTACTTTACTTGTAAATGATATTCCTCTGTTACTGTACCAATATGTATGTTAAAAACATGTACAAAAATACACTAAAAGAGGATTCGTTCATTTACTCAATAAATATTTATTGAATGTTTATTACATGTAAACTGCACTAGTGAAGGTACCTGGGACAGAATGGTGAACAAAACTGAAAATCCCTCGTGGAGCTTATGGCCTGGTGGGGGTGACAGAAAAGGAGGGTTCTAATAGTCGGTAATGATAAGCCCTTTGAAGAAAAATAAGGCAGCGTAAGGAGTTAAATTGCTAGTTAGAAGGATGGTCAGGGAAGGTCTCCGTGAGGACCTGACATTTCTGTAGAGACCTGAATGAAGTGAAGGGGGTAAGCTACGGGAGCGTTTGAGAAGGGTGTTCCAGGGAAAAGCACATACAAAGGTCCTGAGGCGAGCGTGTGTTTGGCAAGACTGAGGCATGTGAGAGAGGGCAGTGCGGCAGAGCCCGGGCAGGACCGAGGTGGAAAGTTAGGTTGGAGAGGAGCCCACGAATTAGGTCAGAGGGTGACGGGCAAGGTCGGGGTTTGAATGGTTGAAAGCAATGGCACGATCTGCTTTCCAGTTTTGAACCTCTTTGGCTTCTGAGAGGAAGAAGAGGTGATGGGGACCGACAGGGGGATGACCGCGGCAAGCCGAGCACAGGATATGGTGGGAAGTGGGTAGGGTCAGAGTGTACTTCGAGAGATCCACAGCTTTTTGGTATTGTTCTGGACGTGAAGGAGGCACCCTTGGCCTGTGCAGCAGGCGAAAGTTGGTGACGTTTACTGATCTGAAGAAGCCATCCCAGATGGCAAAATATTTGAAAACTAAGCATCTCGAAGGTTGATGATCATGTTTTCAGTGAAAGCAGGAAGGTGTTTTTGATTATCAGGTAGAACTGTAGGTGAGTTGTTTATTTAGGTTAATCTCACTTCTGAGTGGCTTGGATTCTGTGCTCTGCTGCTCCCATCACTCTCTCAGACACGCCCTTAGCCAGCTTCCTTACCCTTCCCTCCCCAGAATTCTGGAAAAATCCAAACCTGGTTATTCCAGCCCCGCTTGCTCAACCCGTGAGGCCACGAACCCGAGTTATCCAGTAATCCAGTAACCCCGAATATCTGGAGACACCCTTGCTGATGGTCCTACTTTAAATTTTTTTTTTTCAACGTTTTTTATTTATTTTTGGGACAGAGAGAGACAGAGCATGAACGGGGGAGGGGCAGAGAGAGAGGGAGACA